TTTTTTTTTTTTTTTTGTTTAAATTGATTCTCGGTGCCTCTGCCAAATTTAGGTTTTCACCATGCACCTTTTGTTCAATTCCAACAAATACGATTCGAAGTAGGGAAAACAAGGTCAAATAAATGGTTGGGTAAAAATCTAGTTCGTTCAAACAGTAGCAACTCAAGTGTTGGCACCACGATCGCTATGCGACCCATTGCGTTAATTGTGGAAACAAAAAAAAATATGAAACTTATTTCGCCGCATCCCGGTGCGGAAGCCGAAGCGACCCTTGACAGGGGGCGCGCCGAGGAAATGTGGCACCTGGGGCGAAGCTGGAAATGGTATCACTGTATGTATAGCAAAAAAAAATATGCCCCTTCGCCCGGGGCGGACCAGTTTAAAAAATAAAGACAATTTTCGGGCACCCTTTGTCTTTCTGAAGTAAATCAGAATGTATTCTTTAATTCACTATCAACATCTTATCTAATGACGATTTTGGCGCCCACGAGGTTGGCGCCCGGTGGGACTGCCCTCTTTGTCGGCAGTGTGGCCGACCAGAGCGACGCGGCATATGGTATGAGGACCACTGGGTTTCCCAAACTGTCGACCGTGTGAGCCGGTGGCACGTTTTTAAAAAAAAAAAAACATTTCTGTGACGTCACAATCATCTATAAATTATTTAATTAATGTTTTCGTTTGTTTGGGGGTGGGGGGGGGGTCGAAAGCTTCTAGTACGTACGCGTGGGTAGGGGTGTAACAAAGAAGTACTTGTGCACAAGAGGGAAAAGAGTTCGAAAATGTGACTTTGTGCGCACGTACTAATAACGTCGCATTTAAAGATGGCGTTGATGGGTCGTCGAGCCAGAGCTCTTAATAACGCCCCCCACCCGGCACACACCCACACGGTCCGGCGTAACCCGACCCCCAGACCGTGCGCAAGCACGCCGGGGAACTCCCCACTGGCCTGGGGGACGTCAGGTCGACCGAAAACGCCGCGTTTAAAGCGTTCGAGGTCCACTCTCCGTGGGTCAGAACGACTTTGCATCCACTCCGGGGGAAGGTTTTGCTTTACCACCCCCACCATCCAGGGAGTCCTTCGGTCGAGACGGAGCTGGGACGAAACAGTCACCTAGGAGCGGTTCTCTCAGGGCTGCGTAGTTTTAGTCATCGGAGAGGGTTTTGTGTCCTCCCCCCCCCCCCCCCCCCCCCCCCCCCCCCCCACAAATAATCATGTTATTGCGTTCCTTCCATTGCGTTGGAAGTCATGCAAGTGGCCGTGGTTTTTGGCTTCGGGAGTCTGGCACGACAAGAAGAGGCAAAACTCCATGTGACACCTCCGAGTCTCCTCGGTGGTGCGGGACCCTGACGTAGAGACGTTCAGTCATGGCCACCCCAGTGCGTACGCACTAAATGGATATCCCCTAAGTAAAGTGTAAACTTATTTTATTTAAGTCAAGGATTATTTTAATGTTGTCGTATTTTTCTAGCCTTTTAACTTTAGGTAGCCATTTTAAACAGAAGCTACCATGCCATCTATGTGCCCGACGACTACAAATAAAATGGTCCGTCTATTGTATACTTGCTAAGCCTTAGACTAACGTTTCACTAAGCTTGGTCTACCTTTTTTAGCTTTACGTTAAGCCTAAGGATATTTTTTAAAAAGTACTAATTCGAATAATGGTAATATGAGAAGCTTATTTAATGAATCATGGTTATACCCTACACTATGATCAAAGTAGAGGAATTGGATTTTGAAATTTAACCTACGCTAATGCGTATACGAGACTGCTGTACTTTGTTAACTTAGTAATTGACCCTTTTTTTTAAAACAATCCACATTATGACATCAAGCAGTTTTAAAAAAAAATATAATTAAATGAAAGATATTTATATTAAATTGTATTTTCCGTATTTCACTACTAATAATAGTACAAAAGTAACACTAAATGGCACCATTTCAATTGTCTTTATTCTAAATGTACTTAATAACCCTTCTCCCGCACTTCGTTGGCTCAGACATACGTCTTAACATAGGCTTCTTCTAGTATCTTTACCATATTGATACTGTTATTAAAAGTATAATAGTCTATATGGTCAAGTGCAGTGGTCGGAAAACTCATTAGTCAAAAGTAGGCCAGTGGTCGGAAAACTCATTAGTCAAAAGTAGGCCAGTGGTCGGCAAAATCATTAGTCAAAAGTAGGCCAGTGGTCGGAAAACTCATTAGTCAAAAGTAGGCCAGTGGTCGGAAAACTCATTAGTCAAAAGTAGGCCAGTGGTCGGAAAACTCATTAGTCAAAAGTAGGCCAGTGGTCGGAAAACTCATTAGTCAAAAGTAGGCCAGTGGTCGGAAAACTCATTAGTCAAAAGTAGGCCAGTGGTCGGAAAACTCATTAGTCAAAAGTAGGCCAGTGGTCGGCAAACTCATTAGTCAAAAGTAGGCCAGTGGTCGGAAAACTCATTAGTCAAAAGTAGGCCAGTGGTCGGCAAACTCATTAGTCAAAAGTAGGTCAGTGGTCGGAAAACTCATTAGTCAAAAGTAGGCCAGTGGTCGGCAAACTCATTAGTCAAAAGTAGGTCAGTGGTCGGCAAACTCATTAGTCAAAAGTAGGCCAGTGGTCGGCAAACTCATTAGTCAAAAGTAGGTCAGTGGTCGGCAAACTCATTAGTCAAAAGAGCCAAAAATCTGCAGCAGGACGATTAAAAAAAATTTTAGAGACACATTTCTTTTCAAGAACCTGTGAAGAACCATGTTTTTCGGAGTCAAAACCGATTTGTGGCCGACTGGGAAAGCCGCACTCAGGTCACTAAAGAGCCGCATGCGGCCCGCGAGCCGTGATTTGCCGACCACTGGTCTAGTGTTAATAAAATAATGCCCAACAACTCCTTTAAAGACTGTTGGTTGATGTTTATGAGAATGACCAAGGTTTAAAGACTGGTGATGGTTAGGAGAATGACCCAGGTTTAAAGACTGGTGATGGTTATGAAAATGACCAAGGTTTAAAGACTGGTGATGGTTAGGAGAATGACCCAGGTTTAAAGACTGGTGATGGTTATGAAAATGACCAAGGTTTAAAGACTGGTGATGGTTAGGAGGGCAAACAAGGTTGAACATGTCATCATTACTAGACTCTACTAGATTTATTGATACCAAGCATATCTGGAGGACAGTCCTCCACTCCTGGAGGCGAAAATGTTTAAGAAAAAAAACTATCCTCTTCATCACCCACCTCAGGCGGGCTCTTCTGGTGCTCCACAGTCACGCTCCCAATTTCTGTGTCCAAATATGAAACCCTGATACTTAAGTGTGTCTTTAACTGTCTTTAACTGTCTTTAACTGTCTTTAAAGGTCTTTAACGGTCTTTAACTGTCTTTAACTGTCTTTAACTGTCTTTAACTGTCCATTTCCTCGCAAAGAAAGAGACACATTAGCACCAAATCTTAAAAACGGCCCCATAAAATCCCCGATCATTACACGAACCGGCGTCTTGGTCCACCTACCCGCTACTTGTCATGGCCTTCGCGTGATTCCTTTCAAAACAAAGTCTGGCAAGTGTTGAAAGATTCGGAATCGGACCTATTCAGTATTTTATGTACAACTAGTTTTACAATTCTAAATTGTATGGGGGAAATTTTCTATGGGAATATAATCGAACCATTAAATGGTGAATTCATACGGTTCAAACCAAAAATTAGAGATCAATTATTTCATAGGAACATATTGCAATTATTTCACAATGAAGTACTTCAGGTCTGCAATTTACTGAAGTTAAATACGGTAATCGATTCTGCGTCGTTCATATTATAGCCAAGGGTATCTGATTAGCAATTTTCTTATTCATAGTTTTAAGCTTACATTTAATTGGCACTGCTTGGTAGGGAAGCCATTGTTAATAGGGGGATGTGGCGATCAGACACGCGATTCCCCCACCAAGATTAGTAGTGTGTGTCTGGTGTTTATGGGTTATGGGACAGGGGTGAAGGGGCACCAACAAGGAGTGTGGTAAATACTTTTTACATTGGGTAATCATAACTATTAAATTATATTATATTATATGCCAGCAACATTGAACAACGCTCGATATTTTTTTTTTAAAGATATGTCTCACATTCAGAAAATATGTGGAGAGTTATTTAAGAACCTAGGCTTGAAACATAGACTTCAGTTTATAGAGGAAAATGTTTATTATTGTATGAAGCTTTCGCTATTAGTATTATTATTATCTCGTTTACAAGAAATGCCGCATTTATTGTGTCCGCTTCACATAACTAAAATCCGTAAAAAAAAATATAAAATATATTTCCTAGAGAAAATAAACTATGGAAAAGATTAGCGCTGGTCACGTGACTACTAAAAATAGCATCATCTTTCTTGACGGATCACTGCATAACGGAGAACTTTTAAGTGAATACGAAAAAAACGTTTTCATTTTGATAAATCACGTGACGCTAAGCTCTTTATTTTGCCTCTTCGGCATTGTGGGTAATTGTATAAATATCTGTGTGTTTGTGAAACAAGGTCTGACCAAGTCGATGAATGCCAGTTTCTTTGCTGTTGCCATTTCCGATGTCTTAAAGATGTTCGTCCAAGTGTGGCAGAACATTTGCTTGAATCCTTACATGCTGCAAGCAGACTCGGTTCTGGATTTCAACGGCACCCAGTTCTTGACTGCTGGAACCCCAAGTGTCCTGTTTATGAGAATCACTGGTTGGATAACGATGTACGTCACAGCGGAGAGATGCCTGTCCATTGCCGTGCCAATGAGAATCAAACATATTGTAACTCCGGGGCGCAGGGCGGCCATTTTGGTTTTCATCTACGTCATCAACATTGCATCCGCCATTCCTTTGTATCTCTGGGCTTACATTAGCTGGAATTTTTACCCGGCCCAGAACAGGTCAAGACTTGGAATATCCTTCAGGAGTAACAAACAGGAAGTCGGGCTCTTAAGCTCGTACTTTCACAGCTCGATGTCAATCATCGCTTTTGTGCTTGTGATAATATTTACAGCCATTTTAGTCGGAGCGTTGGTCCGAACATCAAAATGGCGTCTCAAGTTCACTTCCAAAAGTAATCACAAAGAGATGAGAGAGAGGGAGAGGAAAACCGTCGTCATGGTGAGCGTCGTGGCCGCCGCTCTGATCGTCTGCTACACCCCGGCCATCTCGTGCGCCATAGCGGCATCCGTCAGTTATGACTTCAGCATCAGTGGCAGGCAGACCAACGTGTACCAGGCCGTCTGGTCCTTTGCTTTTCTCTTCCACTCCGTCAACTCGAGCATCACCATTCTCTTGTACTACAAGACGAGCACGAGGTACAAGAGGACGTTGCAGGAAATGTTCCCGAGATGTTTCAAAAATGAGGACAGAGCCTCGAACATCTCCAGTAACACATTCACACTGCGCTAGTGTTCGTTTGATCTATTCCTTTAAATTGTCCAAATTTAAAATTTAAAAAAAAAAAAAAAATTTAAATGCTGGTATTTTACTGTTAAGAACTATTTCAACAACTTAAGACACTTACGTGGGTGGGACACTTGGAAATAATTTTGAATTCCCTAATCCCAGAGGAACACAGCTAAAAAGGCAGACCTAGGCCCAAATGGATGGATGATGTGAAAAACGATCTACAGCAGCAGGAAACCCAAGCATGGAAAAGAAAAGCATCAGTTAGGTCTGAGTGCAAAAAAAAATAACCCAACTCATATAGTTTCATGATCTTGGGAAATCTTGGGAAATGTTTGACCAAATCTTGGGAACTAAAAAAACAAATGAGTGGCAGCCCTGCTCACGCACAGTCGGTGAACTTCTGAGCGCTTTTGCTAAAAAACTTGTTTTTAAAAAAACAAAAAAAAACAAAGTCATCTCACGCTGGGCTACATGATCAGCCTGTTTGGGATTGTGGGGAAACAGCCTCAATATTTGTGTGTTTTTGAAACAGGGTCTGACCAGATCGATCAACACAATTTTCTTCGCCCTGGCCGTTTCCGACATCCTGCAGGTGTCTGTCCAGATCTGGCACAACCTGTGTTTGGTGGCGTACTTGACAGAGACAGACACGAGCATCGATTTTACGAGCGTTCAGCGCTTGACCGCCGGGGGCCGTGGTGTGCTTCTCGTGAGAACCGCTGGCTGGATAACCGTGTACGTCACCGCAGAGAGATGTCTGTCGATCGCCGTACCGCTGAAGATCAGACAAATCGTAACCAAGAGACGCACGGCCGCCATTTTGGTTGTCATTCTATGTCATCAACATGGCCTCACTATCGCCCGTGTATTTCTATGCTTACTTTAGTTGGAATTTTAACTTTTCCCAGAACAGAACAATTCTTGGAATATCTTACAGGCTTTATAAGCAGGCCATTGAGAGCTTATCGTTCTCCCTCCACAGTTCGCTGACAACACTTGCCTTCGTACTTGTCATCCTATTTACCACTGTTTTGGTGTTCAACCTGAAACTCCATTCAAGATGGCGTCGTGAGTCACCATCCGGGAACAACCGAATGCAGTGGCGGGCGTCCAGAGAGAGAAACACCGTTGTCATGGTGACTGTCGTAGCCACCGTCCTGGTTGCCTCCTGTTACACTCCCGGCATGACATTGGCCTTGACGACATCAGTGAGTCAGGATTTCAGCACGGCCGGCAAGGAAAGGAACCTTTTCCAGGCCGCCTGGTCCCGTGCCTCTCTTTGCCATTCCGTCAATTTAAGTTATCACCGTTCTCTTGTACTAACCGAACAAGCACCAAGTACAGACAGACTTTACTGGTAATGTTTCCGAGGTTATTTGTCGGCGAGGACAAACGCTTCAAAATTATTCAGTAAATGGTTTGGTGATCTTGTGCTCGACGTCCATCTTCATCATTATCTTAACAAATCAATTCTATACCCTTTTAAAAAAAGATTTAGAATTTAGAACGTTGAAGATATCACCATTTTGAAAAGTAGCTCTGAAGCTCTTCACGCGATAAAGTTAAGAAAAGTTCGTTTTTTGTTCATCACGATGTTCACGAAAGTGTCACAGAATCAATGACGCAATAACTTTCAATTTACACGGGGGAATCATTGCTCAGCCAATCAGGTTACTCCATACGATTTTTAAAATCCCCCTTTTTTTAAAAACAAATTTAAGAGTTACAAATTATTTTCAGATCCTATCTTTTCATTCCATTTCATGACGCTTTTATTATTTAAAAGAGTGATATCGTTCTAAAAGAAATAATCAATTTTTCATATTATCAAAAAATACTTAGTGTAGACGACAAAATGAAAGGGATTCTCCTTAAAGTTGGGAGCATCAATGTTTGGGAGGAAATACAATAAAAAGAAACACAAAAAAACACCAAAAAAACAACAACAAAAACGCTTAAATGATTGTATTAATTTTAATGGTTATGAAGTCTGGCTGAAATAGATTGCTCTTAAATTCACCGTCTATTCGATGTACTGAACTGGTGTAAAATGTTTGTTCATTCTGGATATGGGCTTCGTGCAGATGGATGTACTGAACTAGTGTATTATGTTTGTTTATTCCGTAGGTGGGCTTCATAATGAGTGTGTCACCATCGGTTTGTTCATTTGTTGATGTTCATAGAACATGAACCTCACGTCATATAATATATATGTCTAAAATGAACGAAATAGCGAATATATCATTTGAGTAAAATTTCTTATCTCTTGCAATTTCTTCCTTGTCCTACAAATAAAAAAACTACATGAAAATGTCGTAGGCAATTTGGACAAATTTATTAAAAACCGTGCCCATGGGTCTTAAATTCCTAGATCATGCCTGCATTTAAGGCGGGCCGTAATACTTTATAAAAAAACTTGTGTGGGCCGAAAGAAAATAGGCCGAAAAGGTGTGGGGGGGGGCTTTTAAAAAAAAAATAATTTTAAAAAAATGAATATTTCGTTACTTCGCGTGCCGCAAATTGGGCCACTGCCGTATGTTGTGCAGGCCTGTCCCAGATCCAGCATATGGGAGAATCTTAAATTAGTGACTTTTTGAAGATTTAAAATTTATAATATAACTCTTAAATACCGATTGCAAAATGTATTATACGTGAATCAACATAAATCAATGAATTATTGATCGATAATGGCTATTAGTTCGAATGTTAAAAACTGATGAATTCGAATTCTATCGTGTACTGATTTTCAAAATGTTGGGCAAAAGGAGAAATATTACAAACGTGTGTCATCTGCCACTGAAAAATTTAACAATACAAATGCCAATGACAAATGCTACAAAAGCAGAGCATAGTTATTTTGGTCAGGTTTTAACTTCAGTTATGATGTCATGCTACACAAAGTACAAAAACATGTACTACTTTGATGTTGTTGTGAATATGATGTAGGAAAAGCGATGTGAAAACAATCATGTGAAAAAAAAGTAATATTGTAAAGCTATTTGACCACGCAGACACAGTCCACACGCAGAAGGAACAATCATATTACCCAAGTGCAGTACAACCACGTACATGAAGCCCACAAGAAGAACGAACAATCATATTACACAAGTACAGTACAACCACGAATATGAAGCCCACAAGAAGAACGAACAATCATATTACATAAGTACAGTACAACCACGAATATGAAGCCCACACGAAGAGCGAACAATCATATTACACAAGTACAGTACAACCACGAATATGAAGCCCACATGAAGAACGAATAATCATATTACACAAGTACAGTACAACCACGAATATGAAGCCCACATGAAGAACGAACAATCATATTACCCAAGTACAGTACAACAACGAATATGAAGCCTACACGAAGAGCGAACAATCATATTACCCAAGTGCAGTACAACCACGAATATGAAGCCCACATGAAGAGCGAACAATCATATTACCCAAGTACAGTACAACCACTAATATGAAGCCCACATGAAGAGCGAGCAATCATATTACATAAGTATAGTACAACCACGAATATGAAGCCCACATGAAGAACAAATAATCATATTACACAAGTACAGTACAACCACGAATATGAAGCCCACATGAAGAACGAATAATCATATTACCCAAGTACAGTATAACCACGAATATGAAGCCACACGAAGAGCGAACAATCATATTACCCAAGTACAGTACAACCACGAATATGAAGCCCAAACGAAGAGCGAACAATCATATTACACAAGTACAGTACCACCATGAATATGAAGCCACATGAAGAGCGAACGATCATATTACCCAAGTACAGTACAACCACGAATATGAAGCCCACACGAAGAGCGAACAATCATATTACACAAGTACAGTACAACCCCGAATATGAAGCCCACATGAAGAACAAATAATTATATTACACAAGTACAGTACAACCACGAATATGAAGCCCACATGAAGAACAAATAATCATATTACACAAGTACAGTACAACCACGAATATGAAGCCACATGAAGAGCGAACAATCATATTACCCAAGTACAGTACAACCACGAATATGAAGCCACATGAAGAGCGAACAATCATTTTACCCAAGTACAGTACAACAACGAATATGAATCCACACGAAGAGCGAACAATCATATTACAATCAAGTACAGTACAACCACGAATATGAAGCCACATGAAGAGCGAACAATCATATTACCCAAGTACAGTACAACCACGAATATGAAGCCACATGAAGAGCGAACAATCATATTACCCAAGTACAGTACAACCACGAATATGAAGCCACACGAAGAGCGAACAATCATATTACACAAGTACAGTACAACCACGAATATGAAGCCACACGAAGAGCGAACAATCATATTACCCAAGTGCAGTACAACCACGAATATGAAGCCCACATGAAGAGCGAACAATCATATTACCCAAGTACAGTACAACCACTAATATGAAGCCCACATGAAGAGCGAGCAATCATATTACATAAGTACAGTACAACCACGAATATGAAGCCCACATGAAGAACAAATAATCATATTACACAAGTACAGTACAACCACGAATATGAAGCCCACATGAAGAACGAATAATCATATTACTCAAGTACAGTATAACCACGAATATGAAGCCACACGAAGAGCGAACAATCATATTACCCAAGTACAGTACAACCACGAATATGAAGCCCACAAGAAGAGCGAACAATCATATTACACAAGTACAGTACAACCATGAATATGAAGCCACATGAAGAGCGAACAATCATATTACCCAAGTACAGTACAACCACGAATATGAAGCCACATGAAGAGCGAACAATCATTTTACCCAAGTACAGTACAACCACGAATATGAAGCCACACGAAGAGCGATCAATCATATTACAATCAAGTACAGTACAACCACGAATATGAAGCCACATGAAGAGCGAACA